GAATCCAGGGCCAAGATTTTAAGAATTGAAAACCGCCCTCATAACCAAACCCCCTTTATCCATTAGTACCCACTCCTCTGCCTGAGCTAGGGTGACCAGATGTCCTGATTTTATAGGGACAGTCCTGATATTTGGGGCTTTTTTAATATGGGCTCCTATTGCCCCCCTACCCCCGTCCTGATTTTTCACACTTGCTATCTGGTCACCTTAACCTAGGCACCAGCTGCAGCAACAGCAGAGCGCTTACTGTTACATGGATCCTTATTCAGAGCTCATGCCACACTGAAGGGTGAGTCTGACCTTAAAGCAGATTGTTCCTATCTGTTTGAGATGGCTCTCTCACTATAGCTCTGTGAGCATCTTCCACAGAGGTGACGTCCCGGCAACTATATCTCGGGATAAAATCTCTGTTTGGAAGAGGGTTGCATAGAGGGTGTTTGGTTAAGAACTTGTTTAATTTCCCTTTGGCGCCATTCTATCCCAAATGTCATCCTTATGGGGGAAAGGTGTCTGCTAACTGCACAAACTGATGCAAGATAAAAACAACTCAATATGGAGACTGAGTAAGCAAACTTATGTTCACATCAATCTTACTGGAAAGAATGTTTGCGTTCTTAACTTGCACAAATGACTACTTAGACTTGCATCTTTTAATGAATTTACTGGTGTTATTAATCAAATGGATTGAATTCACATTTAACATTTGTGTCTTTAATGCTAACTGTCAAATAACAAACAGGAAATTAATAGGTTTCAGAGTAGCAGCCGTGTTAATCTGTATCTGCAAAAAGAACAGGAGGACTTGTGGCACCTTAGCACTACGAAAGTTGGGGTTTTTTTTTCTTTCCCTTTTCTCCTGCTGATAATAGCTCATCTTAATTAGCCTCTTACAGTTGCTATGACTACTTCCACCTTTTCATGTTCTCTATGTTTCATTCTATGCATCCGAAGAAGTGGGCTGTAGCCCATGAAAGCTTTTGCTCAAATAAATTTTAGTCTCTAAGGTGCCACAAGGACTCCTGTTCTTTTTGAGGAAATTAATCAGATTATTTCATCCATCAAATCCAGTACCCCACCTTCAACAGCTGCCAATACCTCATACTTTAAAGAAGGGGGGGGGGACATGCTGCATCAAGAAATCGTTTGTGAGTAATTTGCTGAATTCACATAGACTAAGACTTCGCAATAAGGCCATTTTCAAAAACTGCCTCTGGTTAAACACCCAGCTGCAGAGTGAGGTGCCTAAAGAAGTGATTGCTTACACTGCACTATTAGTCCTGGGTTTGTTTCATAGCCTTATCAGTGTGTGAGAGACATATTACGATGATCAAAAACAAAAGTACTCAACCTAAATGTGCTTGAAGCCAGGACGGAGCGGTGGAACAGTCGATTTCCAGCAGAGCCTAGCCCACATTAGTTAAATGGCTATTTACCAAGGTAGCATTCACTTCTCCCCCCCCCCCCCAGTTAGAATCTATATTTGAATTGTCCTCCTCCCTCTTAGAGAAAATTTCCTCCAGTGCAGGGGGCTTGTCAATAGTCCCAGAGTAGCAAGTAGTGATAAGTTCTGTAGGCAAAGGGAAATCATAAAAGTTAGAGAAACTATTTCCTGAGAGATGTCTGTTCCCCTGTAAGGCCTGGAAAGCTCGAGGAGCCTATGACTGGCAGAAAATGGGTGCGCCTCCCTCCGCCGCAAAAGTGCCTCACGGAGAGGTCAGGGGAGACACTAGCTCCTACTCTGCAAGAAGCACACCCTCAGTGAGCCCAAAGCCTGGGTCTAGGCTCCTGCAACACTATAGAGGGAAGCTGTGAAAGTGCGATGGGGGGAAGGGAAGGCTGCTCTCATAGCTTTGCATCTGGCGGGAGAGTGGCTGGGGCTAGAGCGGCACATCTGGAGGGAGAGTGGCTGGGGCTACAGGGGCACATCTGGGAGAGGGTGGCAGGGGCTAGAGCGGCACAGCTGGAGGGAGAGTGGCAGGGGCTACGGGGC